TCGAGGTCCCCCGGCTGCCCGCCGCGCTCCCCCGACTTCCCGCCGCGCGTCGCCTTCCGTCCCGCCCCCGCTGCGGCGGCACTTTCCCCGAAAGTTGTGGGGCTTCGAGCCTAAAGTTTCGGGGGCTCCGGGCTGAGCGTGGCCGCCGCTCCGCCTCCCGCCGCCGCCATTTACAGCGCACGGCCCGGCCCCGACGCGCCCGCACCAGCACTGACAGCGGCGGCCGCGCTCCAGACCCGGATGTGAGGCCGAGAGGAGAGAGCGCGAGACGGAGAGAGAAACACCCACCGGGCTGGCTCGGCCGCTCCCGGGAGAGGGGGCCGCAGCGCCCCCTGGCGGCCGGAGCCCGGCGGCGGGACGGCGATGACCTCCGCGTGCGGCGCGGGAGATCCCCGGGAAAGGGGGACCTGGGCACCCGCGTGCCGCTCACCGAGAACCGGAGAACGCAGATACGGGGCACCGCTTTCAGGGTTTCGAAGCTTCTGGTTCTGAGCTCTGAGTAAACGCTTGATGGAAAGGAGGACATTATTCAGGTTACTGAGAAGTATCTGTACCTTGTGATGTCAGATGTCGCGGAGGGTGAGTGCCATCCGCTCCCAAGGGCTGTGAACACCCAAGCGATCTGGGAACCAGGATTCCTCCCAGAGACGCTAGCACTCAGGCTGGACTCCCACTCTTGCTCCAAGCTGTGCTTACCCGAAGATAAAATTTGGTTGAATTGGGGGGGCGGGTGGCAAAGTGTCCTCTTTGTACGAGAGGTCATTATGGTCAGTAGGATGTGAACACTGTGAATGTATACGTCAACCCTATAAGCCTGGGTTGGTCTGGAGCAGACCCCAAGGCTCCTGCCACCCCTCATTTCCTCCTTCGTGAAAATTACTCAGCGGCGCTGCCTTTACCTGCACCTATACTGGAAAACGGATTCTTAAACTCTCCAATGGACTAACACGATCAAATATGAACTATCTCAAAAAACGACAGCTAAGGCAGAATCACACAGATTTTTTGGATTTGACTTTTTTGGCTTACATGTGTTCTCCAAAGTGCTGATCCTATAAATAGCCCATAAAAGGGCATTATTAGAGGTTCACAACCATTTATCGGTAATCCTAAAATTCAAAGAATGCTGAAAACCCAGAGATTCTTTTGGTGCATTGCGGCAGCCTCATTACGCGGCAGAATCCTAACAAATCTTGTATAAAGCTATAATCTTTATAGATGGCGCTTTCTGTTAACAGGTATTCATTTTACACCAGGTTTTAATATAATGCTAATATATATGGTTACAGGCATTGTATTATTTTTCTTTTTAAAAAAAAATGTAAGCACAAGATAGGAACTGGCTCACGTTTTCCTCTGCCACCTACCCTAGCCCCTGGACCTTTGTTCCACCCCTTGAAATACTCTTTGAACAGACTTGTGCGTGACTTGCTCTTACTTGTTCAAGTTCCTTGTCAGATATCTTCTTAGGCCTTCCCTCAAGACCACAACTAAAATCGTTCCATCATGTTCTGTTCCCCTTATCTAAATTCCTTTCCTTTACAGCGGCTTCTTTCCCTGACATTAAAGTATGCAGCTGTTTATAGTTTTAATAGCTAGTATTGAACTGCTTACCATGCTTCAGGTAAACTGTTCTTAAACTTTAAGTTAATGAGCATATTAATTACAGCAGAAATAGGCACTACTAGTATTTTTTTTTCTTTTTTGGAAAGTTAGGAAAGTGACGTAAAAATGGGCTGTGTAACTTGTAAGTCATGCTGTTATTATCTGGCTGAGAGAGTCAAACCCAGGCAAGATCAGCTCTAGGAGATAGAGAGATAGATCTTTTGCAAACAGGAAGAAGACCAAGAGGTGGAGGGAGGGAGAGGAAAGGAACCTAAAAAGAATGAAGATGTGCCATGTATATGCACCAGTCCTTATGAGGGATGGAGTCGTTATGTACTGCAGACATGGCCTAATGAAAAAGAAAATGGAAAAAAATAGCTACCCCATACTACCTTAATTACTTCTTTGTTAAGTCCCCTAAGCCACTATCCTATATTTACTAGAAAATTTTTCTTCCTTGGAATCACAATTCCAAGGCCAATATGTGGCACAGTAGTGTTGGAACAATTCATGAATGATTGGATGAATTTTGACTCTGATATGATGGGCTAGTGGCATCTCCTAGTGTTATAGGCAGCTGAGTTAGATAGAAATATTATAGGCAGTCAGACAGGGCCAGGCCCTTGAAGGAGCCAACAGGAGAGACAAGATAAGATACCTATGGGCCAGACTTAAAGATAAAAGGACTACACAAATGCACCCACATACCTCCCTAGGTGTGAACATCAGGGACTGATATCCTAAATAAGTAAAAACCACCTTCAAAAAGCCAGAAAGAGTCACTAGCCCAACCCCTTCCAGGAAAAGCCCCCGTTCTATATTCATGCCCGCTTGCTACGGGACTCACTTCCCCATTTGATCCCGGTTTAATCAATTTTACCTAAACAATTCTTATTGGCCAACCATAGTTTTGTCCATTTTTCCCTTACCTTGAACCCACCTCACCTCATGGTTTTGCTCTATAAGAGTCCCTAGAAAAGACAGAGTCTTGGGCAACCCACTCAGGGCCCCCCTTCTGTCCCTCTCTTGGACAGAAGCTTTCTTTCCCTCAATAAATATATTCTGCTCTTAACCTCCATTGTTCCTAAAATTCATTCTTCGGTTTTAGAGAACACGAATTTGTCCCAGATATTGTTCAGGTTGGGAGTTTTTATTTTCCTGTATCACTGGTTTCTCATGCTTACTTTTAGCAACCTTCAGCTTCACCCCTGTTTTCACAATATAAAACTATAGGATTGCTTCACACCCAAGTTCTGGACTCGCAACCTTCCTTCACAGGCCATAAGGGCTGACCTTTCGCTTTTTCTTGCCTTCCGAACCTCCAATGAGGCCGCTTCTTACCACTGCAGGTTTTCCCTTCTCAGTCCAGCACGGTCTTCATGTATTCAAAGACATGCTTTGGGCATCACATCCCATTGTAAAACAAACTGCAGGATCTCGCCCTCAGGGATCACATACCACACCTTCTAAAGGAAACCGTACTCAGGCTCCTCCCCTTACTAAGAACTGCAGTAGCTTCCGGGATGAAGGAGGTGTTCTGGGTATCACAGGCTGTGAGGAGTGCAGAGGAGCTGTGAGCCCTTCCAAACAGATCCACCCTCCTGTGCAGTGGCCAGGGGCTCAGCAACGGGGGAACTCCCAAGAATGGGAGATCCTGCTCTTCCCTGCGAACACTGGGTGGCTTGGGGCTGAGGGTACTGCTGGTGAGTGAGAGTCTTCTCTGTATCCATCACTCGTGTTTGTATTTCCAAGCATAAAAGGAAAGAAATACAACTTGACAAGTGCACCCTTTGGGGTCAAATCTAATTTCTTTTCTATACATTTCTAGACATATCAAATTTTAAAATAACATCATAAGAAAGCTATTTTTAAAACAGATGGACTATATTCTGTAGCTACGGGCTTAAAGATGCTCATTTTCAGGTAAGATCAACTAGTTGGTTATTGTCAGCAAATACATAAGCTGCTTTTCTAACTAGAAATCTCTGATTTTGTTTTTAAGATAAATTACATGCAGTAAAATTAAATATTTCTGATATTCTGTTCTCTGAGTATTGACAAATGCACATCATAATACAATCACCAAAATCAAGACACACAACCATCCCATGATCCCCCAAATTCTTTACATTCTACTTTTGTAGTCAATCCCCTTCTCCGCCCTCAGCCCCTCCAAACCACTGCTTTTTGTTCTGTTCTCATACGTTTGTTTCCCTTTTCTAAAATGTAATATAAATGTAATGGTGTCTTGTGGTTGATAGCCTTTCAAACCTGTTTGTTTTACAGAACATAATGCAGTTGAGATTATTCCATGTTCTTATTTGTGTCAGTGATTCATTTTTTTTAATTGCTCAATAATATTCTGTTGTGGTGGATAGTTACAGTTTGTTCATCCATTTACTAGCTGAGGGACATTTGGGTTGCTTCCAATTTTGTGGTGATTATTAATAAAATATCTGACTGGAATTGATGGACCAATGGTAAGCAAATGTTTAACTTTACAAGAATCTGCCAAACAATTTTCCAAAATGGCTGTACCATTTGCATTCTCATTAGCAGTGTATCTACATTTTAGGATTTTTTTGGTACATCCTCATACACCATTCTATTTTTTTTTTTTTTTGTCTTTTTTTTGAGACAGGGTCTCACTATGCATTTCAGGCTGGGCTTAAGCTCACTTTGTAGCCCAGGCTGGCCTCGAACTGGCAATGATCCTACTGCCTAAACCTCCTGAATGCTGGTATTACAGGTGTGCACCACCATGCCCAGCTTCATAAACCACTCTAAAGTCATCTAATAATGGTATAGTAGTATCTTACTGTAATTTAAATTTGCATTTCTCTAATGGCAAGTCATACGAAGCAATTTTTCCTGTTATTGCTCACCATTTGAATTTCTCCTTTGGTGAAGTGTCTATTCAAAAAATCTCCATGTTTCACATTGACTTGTTTTCTTATTGTTGGCTTTTGGAAATTCTTTATTCATTCTTGATAGAAATCCTTAGTCAGATATGTAATGTGCATGTGTAACTATTTCCATAGCTTACCTTTTTTCACTCAGGAATATCTTCCAAATGGAATATTAAAAATTTGGCTTAAGCCCAAATTAGAGGCAGCATCAGTAACCGGAAACCTATTGGGGAGAGTTTGTTAGTGCATCTGGTCATCCACTTTGTGTAGGAGAGGTGAGCTGAAGACAAAAATGAACATTAAACCCATGGACAATGAGCGATGATTTGGCCAGGGTACCAGGGGCTTGGACAGAGACAGTTTGAAAGAGCTGAGAGAAGGAAGTCTGGGGAACAGCGCGTTTGTGAACCTGTGGGAATGGGTATGAAGAGTGAGCATCTCCATACTACATGTCACATCCACAAAAAGCGCCAACTATGGAGGAGGCAGAAGATGACCGAGTACCCAGAATGACCCAGCCAGCTAATGTCACGTGGCCTATCAATCAGTCACCCTGCCTCCAGCAACTCAATGGGAATTG